ATAGCCTTATCTTTTTCTTCTTACTGCTGAAGTGATGGCAAATCAAGCAGGGAGAGTGTGCAGGGGAGTGTTTTGGGGTCTTTTTAACTTAAAAATCAAAATTCTATATGTGTCCCAAGGATGTACTTTTTTCTCCTACTGAAAACTTAAAGAGGGAAGTTGAGAAGTCAAGTCTTAAATCACCGGGAAAGATTTTTTTCCATTAGCAGTGGAACTAATGAAACTGCATTTCCTGTGGAACGATCTGCTTGTCTGCGTGCTTTTTCAGTATAATGTAGAACTGCAGAAAAGCAAGCTCCTACCTGTTTTGACAAAATTCTACCAAATTTGACAAGATAAGCTACCTGCAGACCAAGGGGGAGAGAGACACATGATGCAATCATAGCTTCATTTTCTTATGAAATCAGGATAAGAGTTGCCAAAATATAATAAATTCTTATAATAATGTTCTATCTTCTTTCTTGAGTGGAGAGAAAAATAAGGACTGGAAAAAGATGAAAACTTTTTCAAAGTCAGAGTTCTTCTAGTTGCTGTTTGAAACACTTATGTTGTGTCTCCTAAGTGCATGTTTCATGCCGGGGCCTTTTGCAGCATCCACTGATGGTGCTGGAAGTTGTATCAAGTCCCTAGCACTCGTGGCCTCCGTGTGGGAGGAGTCCAGGGCTTTCTCCAAATGTCAGAACTGACAGTGTTTTGGAGATGCAGTAGGGAATTGTGTTTAATATGTTATTTTTCAAAAAACTTTAGATGCTTCAGTTTATTATATTTAATATAGATTGGTTTGTATTATATTACTTCAGGATATAAACTGATTGATTCTTTCTGCAATTTCAGGAGCCTGTATAGAGAAATACTATTTCTTTCACTTGTTGCCCTAGGAAGAGATAACATTGATATAGGTAAGTGTTCTAACTAATTCAGATAGGCATAGATGATCGGTGCGTGCAAATTGTTATTTCAGCTGCCAAAAAAATCTGTAGAGTAGATGATATATATGCCGTTCTGTGCTAACTGCTGAATAAAAGACTTTCCAGTTACTACTTTGGTGATAAACAAGGGTTTTTTCTATTTCTGTAGATGCTTTTGACAGAGAGTACAAAATGGCCTATGATCGTCTCACAGCTAATCAAGTGAAGAATACTCATAATTGTGATAGACCACCAAGTACTGGAGTGATGGAATGTCGAAAGATTTTTGGAGAACCATAAAGAGGAAATATCTATGACGTATACCTGTGTAAAATAACCACTTCAGTCACAAGGAACATCTCGGTCTTCAGTGTTCAAAAATGTATGTACGAACGTACTGTGGCAGAAGGCCTTAGAAAAATTAGGCCTAAGTGCCATTGTCAAAATGGACTGAGTGAAGAATGGGCCAAATACTATTTCCCTGTCCCATGTCCTTTCTGCAAATCAATCTGTAGAAAGGATCTTTCTAAACAAAATGAGTTCCCCAGCTTGGGATGACATGTTACAGTTCCCTTAATTAAAAAAATAAATAAAAAAGTAACAGGTGGACAGAAACAATGCACTGAAACTAATGTGAGCGAAGTAAATTCTTCAAAATCTATTGTTTACATAGAATATTCACGATGTTATGAAGAGCATAAAGGTTGTATTATACATATCTTAAATTGTTTATAGTAAGTTGATATTTTTTAAATTTTTTTAAATTACTGGAGTGAATTTTAAATGGACTTGCTGCATAAGCAATACAGTGCTTTTTTTTTTTTTTTTTTTTTGCAGTACACTGCTATTTATAGTAACTTGTCCAGTTACTTTTTGAAGAGCGATTTGGTTTTTAAAGCAGTATAGAAATGTAAACCTAGACAATACTCTAGATACAGGATTTCTGTCATGCACACATGGAAAACATACTATCGCAGCAATCATATGGCAAGTATGGTAAATTTCTGTAAAACTCTAGTAATGAACACACTGATGTCTCTGAAGAAGACGCTTCTGTAGAAATTTCCTTCGCTGCTTCCTCCTCTCTTCGTATCTCTCCCCATTCCCTAGAAAAGTCTGTAGCGTATTGGAAAGTCCTACAGATTATTTTATGGAATCAGTGCATTTCAGCTGTTGGCACTTGTTAATGTGACCTCATTTCAGATGTAACACAAAGCAAATGACAGCCTGCAAAAATTTCTCTGTAAAAATGCAGTGTTTAGAACCTCTGGTGGATGTGTTTGAAACGCACTAAATATGGCACGTACTCAATGCTAATCCAAAGCTTTTGAAAAAAGTAGATATAACAAACTTGCTACAGGGAATATATAGGGAATGTATCTCATCAGGGCATGCTGTGCATAGTTAAAGTACATGGAATGTTTAGTCTTTACTTCACAGGCAAAATGATTTTTTTTTCTGTGAAGTAAAATAATGCTGTGTCAGTCCTCATGGAGGAGTCATGGCTTGTGACTTATGCTTTCTTGTTCTAGAGATTTCAAAAAATGCTCTGTGCTTTTGGTCATGTAGCAACTGCATACCAGAAGGTAGGCTACAGAGAAAATATTGGGAGTTTTCTCTGGAGGTGGGCAAACAGACATTGTTGAATTGTATAATACATCCTAAACCAGTTAAGCCATGCTTAAACAGAGCTTTATTTTTTCTTTTTTTAGTAATCTTAATTTTGATTCTAATTTTTAATTGTTGCTGTTTATAATACTTCTAAATACTCAGCTGTTCCATTAGATTTTTATATGTAGGTCTGCCTAGCTGCAGATATATTTTTTAAAACATCTTTAGTTTGCAAGTGTAATAATACAGCAATATTTAGCTAGACAAAAAGGAGATAAAGTAAATGTAAGCTTTACAGTTTATTAAATAAAATAGAATGGGCCTTTTAGGGGCTTAAATGAGAAGTAATGCTGCTATGATGCTCTATATAACCTCTTCCCAGTCCTTCTGTAATGTAGTAAGAGGATGCTGCCTTAAGGAGAAAGGATTTAAAATTTGTAGAGCTGCAGGTATATACTAATGCTAATTGCAAGATGCATCTTGATGTAAATGCAATCTTGCTGGATACAGCTTTGATTGGATAATACCTCTTCTTAATTTGCTGCTAGTTATGTAGCTGAGGTGTGGTTTTTTGTTTTATTAAAGTATCCTCACCCCCATTGTCGAAGTGGACCTAGCAGTGCTACACTTACCGCCATTTTTCACATTTAATTTATTTTGACAATTTGTAATGCTTTATTTTGTAGTGCTTACACTTGTAAAGTATTCCTGGTGCATGAGATGTAGTGTGTGTGTGTGTGTGTGTGTGTTGTTGTGTTGTTGTTTTTTGAGTTTTTGTTTTTTTAATCTAGGTACATGGTAAACAGTATATCAGTGTAGGGTGAATACATACCCACTTCATTCTTCTAAACTATTGTGAAAATATCAGATTATTTTTAATATACTCATTGTAAGTACCTATTAGTATGCATGTATGCTCTGCTTTGTACAGTAGCTACATTGTATTTACCAAGTAAAAATTGCATGCGGCAGTTGCCGTGTATATAAATTTGTACATATTTGTGCTGTGCATAATGGAGTGTTCCTAGCTCTTTACAGTCATTTCCCACATCATTTACGACTTGGGGCAGCCACTGTTTTATAGCACCTTCAAGCCATGAAGGAGGGCAACTGCTTTTTCCAGAGCTGCCATGGTGTTATAGAGGTAATGAGCTATGAAGCAGGCTTCACACTTCGTATTTTCATCTGGTAGAAGCAACTGAGCCTGATCTCTAACCACCTCTCCCTTATTAGGATGTTACTCTGCAACTGTGTGTACTAGTGCAGGAATAGAGGCAACACTTGTAACACGTGGCCCAGTCTCTCTCCCTTCTAGTTCCAGCTTAGTTGTAAGTACTTTCAGCTGTCTTCATTTCTTATAAAGCTAACAAGTTTGCCACTTCATTCAAGTATCAGCAGTCCTGTCGGTATTATCAGGAGAGTATCTAATGCACCATGAAAACAATTGTATATGTATTTTTAAGATAAGCAATCTTACTGTGTGCTTGCATCCTCAAAGTGGCGTTCCTGAAGCATTGCTGATGTTTAGCTGGGTGTGCTTTTAAATTACTATCATGTAGTACTTCAAGTGAAATCATTATACTTAATTTTAATGAATTGTTTTAAGTGTGTTGCAAGTCATTCCACTGTAGAAGTACAATAAAAAATATGTAGTTGAATAGTGATATACTTTAAGTGGGAAACTTTCCTCATTCATATCATAATGTTCAAAATACAGGTCCTGAGGAGGATAATTTTTAAGCATCATACAACTCAGTGTTGAAATAGTTTTCAAATCTCACTGTCCTTTATTAGAAAAGCAGTTTGAGTATATTTTCCAGTACTGCAAAGGTAGATAAATATTTGAGACATATTTTCAATTTAAAATTTTGTATGAACTGAATTTTCTCCTTTTGTGTACTAAATAATGCTTCTGTCAAAAAAACCTTAAGCAAAAGTTTTACATTTGCAGTGCAATATATATTTTGTTTTACTTATGGTTCCACTGGAATAATTATTGGAGATGAAACGGTGAAATGTGAATAGAAACTGTGCTGTTTTCCTGACACTGATAACTATTTCCCATTTTGAGTAGGTTTGCTGTTGGTGCAGTTACAGGCAGATGAATTAGATTTCCACTGACAAATGAATTGGTGTACACGAACAGAGACAATTCCTGCATGTAAAATCTTTTTATAACAAATGAGAGATGCAAATAGTAATTATAGAGAGGGGTATTTCTGGATATTATCTCACTGGGGTTTTAAAATGGTACTTTGTTAGTTTGCAAGCAGCACTTTTTAAAAGAATGGTTGTAGATTTGTAAATATGTAATGTTTAAACTTTATTTACCAAAAAACAGTATGTTGGATGTTTGCTTTGTTTTGTAGTTCATTTAAAATAAGCAAGTCACTGTTCACAATGTTAAATCTTTTTCTGTCTCATCCAAAAAAAGTTTTACAGTGAGTCAATAAAAAGCTTAAAATCTCTCTGGTTATTTTCATTAAAATTTTATTAAATGGTTTAGAATGACAGAAATGTTTGCAACTTTTAACTACATTGTTTGCTCACATGAGGCAATGTTAACAATAAATCCTTCACGCTTTTTGATAGTTGATGTCAGTGACATTTTTCATAAAGGTTGTGTAAAGACAGGGCTGAGAACAGGAACTAATGCCAGATACAGCAGTCTCTAAATTCCAGAGGCTAGTGTCAGGATGAAAACCAAACTCGAGCATTTCAACTTCCTCTTATGGTAATGTTTTCCACTTCCTGATTTTAGCTTTTAATAGTTTGCAGTTTGGTATTCTCGCCCCAGATCCATTTAGTCTCTTTAGAGTGAGATATAAATCCATATGATATCACACTTGCATTGGTTGTAATTGCCAATAAATTTTGGGATTGTATTGCAAGATTAGATGCTACTTAAAGAAGCCAAGTGGACTGCTGTGCGACTTTCAAATCCTGTTTTCTACTGCATGGAGAAATAACTTCTATTGCTTTACTTTTTCCCTGAAAATGTTAGTATTATGTTTCCCATGGTCTTAAGGGGCCAGCAACAGTCATCACTTGTAATGTGCATCATCACATCTTTGTACACCTTTCTGGAGGTATGTTGAATACCCATTGTAGATGCTTTGTAGTGGCTCTCAATGAGAGGATGACTGTTGTCCTCTGCACAGGGAAGTCATGGCAAACTAGCTACAGTGCAAACCTTAAGAAATGATGTGCTCTGTGTGGAGGCTCATTGCTTTTATGCAGTTTAAGGGAGTTCACTTCTGAAATGCAAAATGTGTGTCCACCCAGGGATTTTAGGCAAAGGAGTGGAACAAACCATAAAGGTCTGATTTTGTTCCCACTGGAGTGAAGTTCATTGACTTTAGTGAGCTCAAGCAGTTTGTTAAATGAATAATTTGGAGTGTGATGCTGAAAAAGACTTACTATGATGAATAACGTTCTGTGCTGATTCCTGATCTTTTTGGATCCAAAGGAAAACAGTAGAAGCAGATGCACCATTTGGATTTTTGTTTTAATAGATTGAAGATATTTTAATTTTAATCTTGGTAAGTGTATGTTATAATTCAGATTGTGTTGATTCAGTAGAACAATAGCTATCTTAAACCCCTTTTGATTTTGGTGTGTGTGTATATATATCAATCTTATTTAGAAGAACAATAATGCTTGGAGTGTCCAAATGTCATACAGATACAGGGCAGGATATTATCCTGTCTTCTAACATCACACTGATGATCAAAAACACAAAGTAAAGAGCAAACATAGTGAGCCCTAGTATCTTGTTCATTTTCCACTTACATGCAGCAATTGAGATGATTACAAACAGGAGCATTAGAAAAAGGAGAACAATTGCACAAAACAAACCATTACTACTGACTGCAACTGGACTAAGTCCGTTGAAGACAGAATAAAGGAACCAAGGAACTGGCAAACTGCAAGTAAAGGAAAAGTAATTGAAACAAATGTCTTAAGGCAATTCATTTTCTGCATAATAACTAAGCATTTTTTCTAAATTGTTACGGAAAAAAAAAAAGCACGATCTTCGATATGTCTCAGTATAAACCTAAAATTGACGCTGTTGGTGCCAAAATGCATTTGGATAATACCTTTCACTATCATAATGCAATCCAAGAATCTGAAAGGGTTTTTAAATAATACTTATGAATCAAGTTCCTCAGCATCCTATTATAAAGAAGTAAATCCTGGTGCTTTACTGATGAAAGAAACGAGCACAGATCCTGAGCCTTGACTGCACAGGATCTGAATGCCATTGAGGGAGTGGATAAATCGTGTCCTGCCTATGAATCTTTGACATTAGCCAAAGATCTGTTGTGTTTTGTCCTGAAAAATCAGTAATTTTGTATTGATTTGAAAATTCATTGTTAGATTATTGGCTAAGTACAAACAGTAACTGAAAGGGAGGGGTATGAATGAAAGACTCTGCTTAGAGAAACCGGCCCTGAGAAGTAATACAGGGCAGGCACAGCCTGTTCCTTGAGTCCTGTTAACTAGGAGACTCCTAGAAGGAAACCTGAATAGTAATTTGCAGTGGGTCAAGTTTCATATAATTTTGAAAGTTACTTACTTTTTTCTTTTTGCAGCCCCCCCTTCCAATTTCATAAGCAAATATCTAAACACCTTTTTGAAAGAAAAAAAATTGTTTTGCTTAATTTCTGCTAAAGGGCGGTCTTAAAGTGCTTTAGCCACTTCCCTATTTGCTGTGATACTCTTCCCACAGTGATGTTTCCTGTCTTATTGACAACTGTTGTTTCTGGCTTTTTTTTTTTAGTGCAAGATTATTTTCACCTATCATCTACCAGTGCAACTAATAAGGCTTGGTGAGGTTCTTGGGTTAAGATAGTGGTATTTCTGTTTTGACCTACAAATTATTATTTTAAGCAGCAGAACAATGACCTGAACTATGTGCAAATTAATATTAGCTCTGCCGTGCTGAGTTATAAAGATCTATCTTTCCTGGCTGGGTTAGCTTAGAAATGTATTTAAATGAGGGGCAGCTGGGCAACCAATTCATTGCAGCTAAAATTAAGTTAACTGTGGCCTTGTTTGGAACAGAAACAGTGTGTTCTGTATTTCAGAAGAAATGCATCTTTGAGCATTGAACTAATACTCACCCAACAGTGATATCGAAGATATTACTGCCTACAGAACTGGAGACAGCCATGTCGCCTAAGCCTTTGCGTGCAACAATGACGCTGGTGATAAGGTCAGGGATTGATGTTCCTGCTGCCAGTATGGTTAATCCCATAATTTCTTCTGATATCCCAATTGTTTCACCAACCTAATAAATAGCAGCAAAGTAGGATAGGTTTGTTATTCTTGGAACACAGACTCTCATTGCTCTGTTCAATTTTCTAGGTTTTGTGCCATATTTGAGTTATATTTTTAATTCCCTTAAATGTGGTAGCATTTTTTTTTTTGCTTTATATGATGGAAATATTAAATTTTGCAGTGTATGCTGATCTCAGATTAGCACTACAGTGGAAGGCACTGTGCTGCCAAGACCAAACAAGGGGAAGTCGGTTACAATGCAACACGCTCCTCTGTCCTAAGTCCACCTGTTCTGGAGAGGTAAAGGTAGAAGACATCTTAATTTAAATTAAATTATGTATGCTTTGAAGGCATTGGAAACTACAGTTTTTGAATTGATGACTTGACCAATTATATTGGGAATGCACACTATTTCACTAAATACAAATTGTGGATCTGATTCTACAAGATGCAAGGTAGCTATATTTCCCAAAATACCTGTCAAATATTAAGGCAATGGGAGCTGAGGGCCATTCAGCAGCTTCCAGAATCAGAACCTGTATTTTCCTAGAATTTTAATTAGGTAAGGGTAATTATGTTCTGCACAGAAGCATTCATCCATGAAAAGGAAGTATGAAGATAAATCTTGACTGCACTTCTTTCTTCACTGATGCACAAATTCCCTTGGAAGCCCTTGAAAAAAATGACTCTTTGTCAAATTGAAAAGAATGAAATTGAAAATTCCCTTTGGGTTCTAACAAAACAAAGTTTCTACTGTTTTGATGGATGACTAGCTGTAATTCATCAGATAGAATACCACAGTGAGATGGATTGTTCCCTATATCCTCATCTACTTGTTTTGAGTCAGTCTTTTTTGCAGAAAGAAAATAACCCCCTCACCTGGTGAGCCCACCACACCATGAGGTAAGAGAATACTGCAATCCAGATGATGGATCCAAAAAACGTGATGACAAAGAATTTTTTGGAGTCCTGTTAAAATAAATTTGAAAAGAAAAACATTGAGACCTTTCAGGAAGGTTGACAAATCCCAGTGAAACCTATTCATCTGAAGCACTTCAATGCAATCAATTGATTTAACATGGACCCTGGTCTCTATTATAATTGTATTTGGGTTTGTCACCTTGATTAGATGACCAACTGTTGCTAATCCTGGGTGATTTTAAGTCTCTAGAGCTATGCTATGCTGCAGCTGGGGCTCCTGCCCCAACTTGCTGCAGCATTGACAGCAGTTTAGGTATTCAAAGACTCTAGGCATGCAAAAATAGACACTGTGATCTCTTGATGAGAAGAAATCTCTAGTTAATGAACCCAACAGCAGAAGGAAGATAGGCTCTTACTGGGTTTCTAACATCAGGCACCGTGCTCCAGAGAGGGAAGACAATGGGAAAGAGAAAAAGGTAAATAGCTTGTTTTTTCCTGGTTTCTGGCCATTCAAGAGATAATGGCTCATCATTTTCTTCATCATCCGTGCTGTCATCACTGTCTTCCTCATTGTCAGAGCTGCTGTCTTCTGAGTCATCACTTTCTGAGGAATGCTGTGGATTAAGAGAAAAGCCTGTTGGTTTTCACGCTAACGTGCAGCTTCACAGCCTTTATTCACTATGGTGTTGCCTTGGCAAAGATCGCATTTGTAAAGTGATTGAGGCAACCAGAGCCCACATCTTGCTATTGGGGGACAAAATCCAGGCAGACCCTATCCCATTGCAGATGCCTGTGTAAGTAACTAGTTTGTATCGATCAACTAGACTCAACCTTTAGACAGGTTTTTGGCATAAATGAAGCATTTACTCTCTGGCTTTTAAAACGCCCTCTGCTGATCAAATAGCTCAATGAAGTCACTGGAAAGGATGGTTAGGGGAACAAAACAGGAGAGCATATTAATTAACACAGCACAGGCATTCATATCTTCCTTTATGTTTGATAGTAACTTACTTTGAGCTCAAAACTCCTAGAGGAGCTATTTGAGGAGAAAACACTCTACAGTATCAGTAAGGGATGTTTTGGACCTGATTTATCTTCAGCCTTAAGCCTAAATAGCTGAGCTACCTCCTTAAATTAGCTCTGAGGTATATATTGCATCACTACAAAAAGTCTACTTAAAACTGCTAATGATGGGAAACAGGTTGGGTCCTACAGGAAAAGCTCTAGAGGGGAGAGGAAGGAAAGTGCATATGTGGCATTTGGTCTGGACTGAGCTCTCATTGCCTATGATCCTCATTTTAAATACCTGTCCATCTTGTGGTGTGTCTGCCTTGTGTTTGTCTTTGCTGGCTTCAGAGTCACTGGCAGGAGTTACTTGAAGAGTGTTGGGTGATTGTGCCGGCTTTTCCTCTTCTGCTGAAAAGGGTAAGAAGGAATACTGGTTTCAGTCATGTTAGCGGTTAGTGGTCACCTTCCCCTTGATCAGCAGGGAGGTTTGCGTTTCCTACAGAAACGTGCAGCATTTCAGGTCAAACCCAGTCTGCTTGCTTGTTAAGGGTGGGTTTTTTTGGTTTTTTTTTTTTTGTTTTTTTGGTCCTATATCTGCTGTGGGTTGTGATTAGTAATGCAGGGTGGAATCTGGCCAATGTGGCTTAGAATTAATGTGATCATAGGAGCTTTCACCCATCAAGGTATCACTGTTATTACTTCTTCTGAAACTGCAAGGAGAGGAACATGCATAAGAACAGGGAAATGCTAATTATCTGTCCTCTGACTGATGAATGTTTCCAAGTTTCAGTCTAGATTCTGCAGATGTTATTAAAGCCATCCTTAAAAGCCAGAAGGCGTGTAAAGCTTTGCTTCACTTCTTTCTAGTGGTGCTGGGCATTCTCCAGGGGACTGATACTCTTTGAGGCTTCTGAGAAATGACTGCTTTGTGCTGCCAGACTTTAATCCCTAAGCATTTGGTGCATATTCAAATGCAAGTAGGAAAGTGCTGACACATACAAGGAAATAACTGTAATGTCCTCTGTGCTTTCCCATATTAACCTGTGTAGCCAAGAGAAACCCAAAAATCTCTGCACAGAGTAGTACTGAAGCATGAGTAATACATGACAGAGGTGATACAGGATGCCTGACTACTTAAAATCACAGCAAGAGCAGTCTTCTCAGACTGCTGCAATGTGGCTTAAGGGACTCCCTCCACATAATGCAAACCCATCAGGTCAGTAAGCTCATGTTATCCTATGTACTGTACCTGAATGGGGGGCATTGTTGGATATCTTATTCTGAACTGAGTAAGCTGATCCAGCGTGCCTTTCGGGAACCAGTCTAGAGAGGAGTTTTTCAGAAATGCATGTTTTTGTGCCATTTGGCATTTCTGGAACCAGGCCTTCAGACAGCAGACTTGGGACACTTTCAGCACAAACTGGTAGCATAGAGTGGGCTGTGCACATTCCACATGTATTATCAATTTATGCACCAAAAAGGTTTGTGGAACACGTTGTCATGGGGTGAAAACTTACAGTTCAGTGAAGTCAATGTGGTGTTAATAACTTGAACCAGCTGAGGATTTACTCATTTCTTAAACAGTATTTTCTTCAAATTTAGTCCCATTTACATGGGCAAGGCCCAATGTTGTGAGATACTGGAGTGACTATTGTATTGCAGCTGCTTGCTTGTGAAGGAGGGATCTTCCATGCAAAAGTTTCCTTATTTTTCAGTCTCTAAGCTCACTGAGAGCACACATCCATATTGTAGCTTAGGTTAGCTGCTGCCTCTGCATCAGCTCAAACGGCCAGTGTATCAGTAGTGAAACATAAAAAGCAAAAACTATTGAAAGGGAAGATGCACAGACCCCTAGAATGGTTGTAGACGAAGTCAGGTCTTTTTATGGAGGAATTGGCCAGTGCTCTTCTGCATGTGTGCTGAATTTCTAGGCTAAAACAGAGGTACATTGTTTTAAAGAACACTTAATTGCAGGGGCTACCACAGATCAGGAGCATAACAGCACACAGCTGCTGTATATAATGGCCTGGTTTTCCCTCTTCCACCTTTCTGACTGATACTACATCATTGTGGTGCTTTCTGTTTAGGTCCTTCCTTACTAACCGTTCCTTGACTCCTGTCAGGATGACTTTTATTGCCCTCTGTTAGTGTATGTTGAATGATTTCTATTGTATTGCAGCAGGTTCTGTGATCAATAATAGAAAACTTTTGTCACACTAGTGTGTTTTTTGACCATCCTTGGGTGTTCAGGCCTGGGAAGGCAAGAGGTTACAATGCAAAACAAGGTAAATGGCACTGACTTTTCTTGTGCTCACCTTCTGGTTTTGATCCTTGCTTGCTCAGAGAGTCTACCTTAGCCTTGGCCAAGTTGCTCAGGATGTCAACCTTGTCTTTAAATTTTGCTGTGAATGAGAAGGATGCATTTGTCATCAGTTGTCAGCTATGGGAACCTCCACACAGATACACTCGCCCCATTCTTCCACCTGGATCGCAGTCAACGCTGACTTGCGAGTTGTCTTTCTGGCTGTGGCCTTAAAGTCTTGGCTGCTGCTAATGGATCATAATTGTTATATTTAAATAGTTAGTACTATGGTAATTATGCCAGCAGTTTGCTATGCAATCAATACCTTCATATTTCAAAAAGAATCTCGGGGGAAGATGGACTCCTCAGTAATACAGGAGATATCTGTACTTCAGAGGGAGCAACTGCAGAAAGAATAGAGGAAGAATTTTGATGCAGTATCCTTTTGTTCCCAAAGGACTGTTGATTTTGTTCAGACTTGATTATGTGCAAGCTAAAAAAGACACCTTCCTTCTGCCATGTGGCTGTTGAAGAGGCTTTATTGTGCTGCTTGCAGCCTGGTAACCTGATGGTAAGGAACAATAAAAACCTCTTACGTTTCAGTTGTCTGGAAAATGGTTGATTTATCTGAGTCTCCGAAAGTGTCTCCCCTGCCAGAGTTGATCCAAGTTCCTGGTATCCAGGTTCGACATGGTCCAGGTTATTCTGCAAAGGACTACCCAAGAGATCAACTCTTCACCAGTGCAGTGCCCGATTAATCAGGTATTTCTGGGCCTGATGAGGACTTCTCTCACTATAATCTGCGCTATGCTCACAGTGAATTGTGAAACAGTGTGTCCCTCCGTGGCTAGATATTAGATGTTGTGCTCAAATGGCTTAACTCCTGCTCTGCCAGTGAGCAGGTCATCACCTCAAAGCCCCCACTTCAATCTATATCTTCTGTTGGGCACTAGCTACCCGGTGACTAAGGTGAGGGTCACAGGGTTTGTAAATGGACAGTAGCCACAAGAAATTGGCACTTTTAATAGATATGGAAAGCCATGCTATGCTTGGCTTGTGTGGGGGGCTGTAAATTAATTTTCTCTGAAAGCTTTATCACTGATTTAATCTACAGTACTGTCAACTGTGCAGCAAGAATGTGTTGATGTCATTTGCCTCAAGGGCAGGGCCCTGTCACTTTATTCATCACCATGATACCAAGTTAATAGAAACAGAAGGCTTAAGGCTCAGAGCCATGCAGGCAGATCGTCAGTTGTGAGCTGAACCTCATGACAATCAGTGGACTCTGGATACACGTCCAATACCTGGAACTGGCTCAGACCTAAAGGCCTTCTCGTCTGATTCCCCTCATCATCTGACAGGAACACTTTTTTCACTAACTGGCATTTCCACTGAAAACAGCAGAGGCTGGAGAGAGGACTGATGAGCTTTTCTCTTTTGTACAAGAAGGGAAGGCCAAGAAGCCTGCCTCCCAACTTCAGTGCTGTTTATTGGCATTGAAACCTACTGAAGGGGATTTGAAGCATTTTGCTCAGTTTTTCCCTCTGCTGATGCTGAGCACAAGCATACTCAGCTGTGCAAAGCAACAAAGAGGTGACCCTTTGCTACAGTCTCCTCCTCTAACCGCTGGACAATGGCATCTCTCTGTTCAGCTTTTCCCAGGAGCTGTTGCAAAAGCTTCTGTCAGCAGGGTCAGGGCGGTCAGGCCCAGCCTCAAAGGGATTATATAAATTCCAGCCCCTGGCTTCCTGCCCTCACCTGCAAGCTGTGGGCACTGACCAGAGCGGAGCCTGTGAGGATCTCTCTATCAGGATAAATGGATTAGGTTCAGGCCACTATCCCGTTCTCATGAGATCAGCCTCACTTAGAAAGGTTTTAATTCCTCTGACACACATTTCATGCAGTGTGAACTGAGATTGGCTGAAGAGGTGGCTATAAGCAGGCCAGATCTGAAGGTCACCAGGGGGAGGAAGGATAGCTGTCAGTTCAGTCCTTGCTAGTACCGTGGCTTAACCCAGCCCTGCTGAGCAGGGAAGCATAGGGCTTCGAGCCCATTTGTGGCAGCCACCGGTTCTGCCATGGTCATGGAGCATGTTGCTGGAGAAGGGCTTTTGCTGCAGGGCGCTGCAGGCACTCAACACTCCTGTGGGGGGTGTGGGGATCTCCCTTTGAGCTGCTCTGGGTCTGCACTGAAGTCTGCACCAGTAAGTCTCCAGCTGCCCTGGTAATCTTCCAGTGCCTGTTTCTGAGATTAAGTGGGCAAAAGGTTGTTGCTGCCTTTTGGGCATTCACTGTGCTGGTACTCTGCCACCTGGTCTGATAACCGGTCACACAGGATTCACCTCTGTCCAGGGGCCCTGAGATGGCCTTTAGGCAGATTCCTACCTTCTGAATTGGTAGCATCCGGTCTGACCTTAAGCTTGCAGCTGAGTTTAGCTCTTGTAATTTCCTTATATTTAATCCAGCAGAACTAATTTATAGCATGGACTTCAGGATTTTTTCTTTAAATTTTGGCATTAACATGGGTCATCTGGGGTTTCTGATGTCCTAAAAGTGTAATTAAAAAAAAAAAAATCCTTGTGTCCCTTTGTATCATGCTTCTTCCTCTTAAAACAAGACATTGAATGCCAATGAAGTAAGGAGCAAATGTAGCTGCCTGCACTCTTCTAGCTGAACTCTAGCCTGTAATACTGTCGCTTGCTTTATTCTAGTCTAATTTCCGAAATCATTAGCTCCTTTAATTGGGACATACTGAGGATAGGCAGCTCTGATAACCTTACTTTGCCTGCATTCAAAAATAAAAGGGGGTTTCTGTTGTCTTGTCTTCCCTGTATGGCTAGAGTTTAAAGAATAACCTGACGGCAAGACTGTCGTATGCTCTACCACACTACAGAAATCAGGAGATTTCAGAAATGAGAAGGTCCCTCAGGTCATTCCCAAATCTGCATTCCTCTTAATTCCCTGACAGTTCCCTCCAGTATCTTGCCTGAAGATCCTGAAAAGGTCACAAGCTCTGCTTCTGCATGCTTTCAGAGAAAGTGAGGGAAAAGACCAGAGTTGCTAGAAGATTATTTTGTGCCATTTTTTTAAAATGAGAAATTCCTATCAAAAATATAATTCAGGAGGTGATGTAAATGTTACGGCTTTTAAAGCAAAGAGCCTAGCCCGCTGCAGACAGAGAAAAGGACAGGAAAATAATGATTCTTTCCTAATACAAAAAGAAATACTGAACATTCTGAACTTAATACAACACCTGCGAAGAGTGGATTAGGAGTAGGGAAACAAAGCTTGTGTTTCTGCACTTCTAGCTTATTTCTAAGATTTCTGTCTCCGGAAGCTAGTTTTGGAGGCACAGTGCTGGCAGTTCAACATATTTTGGATTCTCATTGCCCTGAAGCAGCTTCTGTGCTGGCCAACTAAAATGCAACTGCAACATAAGGAAGAAAACCTTACAGCGATCACTTTCAGTAGGTTGAGTTAGGAACTGAAGAGAAATAGTTGGCAACCTTTTTCTTTTGCACAGTGTTCTTTACCAAAGCCTTTAAATACTGATGTTACAGGAATGGGCAAGAAAAAGGAACAAGTAGTACCATTAACAGGAAGCCTGAGCTCACAGTCCTGTTGTGGCTTGGAAGGGTCAAATCTTTCCTTTTCCAGGAACATCCTAGGGAAGTTGCTTAATCTTTTTAGCTGAGATCCTCAAAGACACTTAGATGTCTCAGTCTATTCAGAAATAATTCCTTTTCCCTCAACTCCCTTCTCTTTAGGTATGAACTTACTAGGGCAAGGAGTGTCTCCTACTGGATACACAGGACTTGGCACGCTGGGTCCTTGATTTTGCGTGCTGTGCTGTTGTAATATCAGTAATTTGCTTTACTGTAATCTTTTCTAAACAGCTGTGTCTCTTCTGGCAATGTTTAGTGCAACAGACAAATACCTGGGGCAGAGGCTATGCCCTTAACTCAGAGGTATTCTTACAGCAAAGAGTCTACAAAATAACAACCTCCTGAAGAAACTGTAGCCCCCTGTCATGGTTGTGACTTAAGTACGTGTGGTCACACTCCCATCTAGTGGCTGCAGCTTACAGAGACAATAACTCAAAGCCAGTCTAGCCTAAATGAGGTAAGCAGTTGTCTTTTAGTGAGAAGATCCAACATCACCAATAGTTCCCTTTATTCCGTATTCACAGGTCATCATGAATTTAGCCCCTTAGGAAGGCCAGTTGCTCGCAACCCTGTTGAGATGCTGCTGTGGAGCGTCCTGGGCTAAACTGGCTGGGGCAGCACTGGAGTGCTCTTCTTGGCCTAGTCTGGCATCCTTGGGCCCCCACAACTCCTGCTGAGGTCCCAGAGTTTCACCACACTGAGGACGCAAGCCTGGACCAGAAAGCCAAGTGTGTGCTAGGCTGGGGCAGGCAGGCGCTGCCAGCACTTCGCCAGGCGGCTGCGGCTGTCCCCAGCTAGAGAACAAAGACATACAGAGGTGCAGGGAGCCCAAGAAGGTGTTGGCGAGTCTCTTTGAGTGGCAGTAGTCCCTCAATCCCAGCACTTTCTTGTGGTAAATGAAATGGCAGATCCTCTCATAAGCTTTTTTTTTTCCTCCTTGTGCTACTGATACCACCTTTTTAGGGGGAAGTACAGCAAACCCGATGAGTCTGGTTCTTGTTAGGGTACAGCTAGCAATACAGTGCATGTTCTCACTAAAATTTGTCAGAGTAGACACTTATCTGTCTTGCTGTCCTTATCAAGCCTTCTTTGTTCACTCGATCGGTTTTTTGTTGCTGGAAGTTTGATCTGGAGAGTCCTTTTTGTAACCTCAGTGATAGACACGAGAGGTGTATATCCGCTTAGTTTCAATCTCTCTTTGGATGGTACAACAGCTAATCCCTTTAGAACAAGTAGGGCAGTGGAGGGGCATATGCTAAGCTACGAAAGAAAACTCTCATTTAAAAAGAAGATAATACATCTTTAACGTGCTTCTCCATTTCTTGGAGAATAAACCTTCATCCTGCATTTGAATTGAAGTTCGTACAAAGCAGCACGTTAAAGGTTTGTGGACAAAGACTCTTGACCAGTCTGGAGATCTGGCCTTTCTACAGTCCGGGCAGTTTAAAAGAAAATGCCTTCCAGTCCTGAGCTGATCAGTCCCTGGGGAGGTGGCTCATTGCCTGCAGTGTGCTGCAAATACTGGTTTTGGTAAAACAGTGTTGCAGGTGGGCTTTCAGAAGGGCTCAGTGTTGGTCAAAATTGCAAATGGATCAGAGATTCTCCCTGGAGTATTTAAAGGCGATCTGGTTTCCCTCCCCCAGCAAAATGTGGCTGGTAGCATTTTTGTATGCCAATGTTTGGCTTAACCATCATAATAGGAAACTGCTGAGTGTTTTAGATCTCAACTGGGATTTTAACCATTGTTAAAAAGAATTCTTCAAGTATTTTAACTTCTTCCTCTTCTTCAGGTTTATGTCTTGTTAGAGGCTGTGTGCACAGCTGAAGAGGGGCATAGGTAATGGGTTCTCCCTGTGTTCATGTCTGTTAAAAGCAAAGCTAACAGTTTGAGCCAGCTCTTCCTCTTTCTTGGAAAACGTAGGCAGAACTGAATGCTGCTATGACAAGACCAGCGGTCAGGACTAAGCTAGGAAAGTGCAAATAAGGTGTGACGTAGTATGAGATGGAGGAAGCGTGCAAATCATGTTTGCTGTTCCTGCTGTCAGAGGGATAGCAGAAGATGGGAGATTGCAATAACCATCACTGCTGGCAGGACCCCAGTAACAGCAGCTGTTCCACATGCCCTGATGCTCCCTCAAGAGTGACAGCAGCAGCAATCAGTGTGGCACAGGCAAAGCAGATGTCAGGGCCAAGGTGCAGGGCTGTTTGTCCTTGCTAGCCATGCAATGAGAAGGGGAACATCTGTGTGGTGCAGCGCTCGCCTCAGCTAACATCATCTGCGCTGCTTAGAGCTGCGTTTCAAGAATGCTTCATTGAGCCCCTAACTTTCTAACGCATATAAAGTCTGTAATCTTACTTCAAGTGGGGCTGCTGTTATTAGAAATGACTGTTATTTGTTAGAGAGGTAGAAATATATTGCATAATCAGCTTATACTTTAAACACCTATAAGCTCTGCCAATAACTCTGTTGCCATGCTGGGAAATATGAGGAAATAAAAAGTATTTCATGACAAAGACCAGGGTTGCAAGCAAGACTAATCTTGCTAGGGAGCGATAATCTGGGTTGTAATTGTAAGGCTCTTAATTTTTATCAAAGTAGTAACAATTTGCCTTCTGAAGCTTATCTGTCTCCTTACAACACTCTAAATTAATTACAACTTGGTAAGAAGAAAACGTCAGTCTTCAAAGCCTTTGTAATCTTTCATGCACAGTCATTTGCTGGGAAAAGAGTTTGGGACAATAGCAAAAATAGATTTGCTGAAATCTTCATTTGCTGCCTCTTATTAGGTATTTGCAATTAGACTGGGGGCAACAGGAGGGAGGAGAAGAAGAATTGCTGTAAAAAGAGCTATTTTGACAAGAAATTCCCTGCCTTTTGCTCTGTGCACAGGATTCTGGTGAAAGACGGAAGTCCATCTACAAGTAGAGGCCTAGTCTTCAGTTGATTTCATTGGTTTACATTTAGTGGTGCTGCCTTCCACCAGCAAAAAGCATGCCCCCAGTTAAACTGCTCTAAGATCTGGTCTGCAAAACAAAGTCCCTCAGATGTGGAGCATTCACTCACCTTCTGCCAGGGGGTCCAGGGTGTAAATCATGAGTTGGAAGATGGTGCTGCGCATTTGAGAGTTGTGTAGGGAGGCTGAGCTGCTGCCTCGCTGTAAAGCTGATGTAGGCTACAGAACAGAATAAAGGTACAAGCACAGCGATCAATAGCAGGTTCCTTCACAAAACATCTCTGCCAGCTCACCTCTGAGCTGGGGATATGCATCTCCGGAGGCTCATCTTCCTAACCCAACGAGCAGGTTCAGCATGGATTTTAGCCTCTGCATTCAAGGTCACAGGCTGGCTGTGAGTACTGACAGTTCGCAGCAAGAGACTTGCCCTTGAGATAGTAGGCCAATCTGTCCTTAGATATATGCAATGGACTCAGCATCACGATGATGTTACTACGGATTGTAACAATCAAAGAATGCAGTGCTTTTAGTTGTCGGCTTACTGATAACTCTGTAGATACATATGCTGCCGTATGGTAATCCTAGAGTCACGTCAAGACTTCTGATTTAACTGGAAAGCTCTGGTGCTCTGCTCTTAATGTGAGTGAGGCATGCCAGAGCCCTAATGAGCTTTCAACTAGGTTAAGTGCATAGGGGAAAAAGTAGCATCCACATGAGGAAGCTAACATCTGTTATGTCATGTTTGCAGCCTCTAGAGCCTCTAGGCCTCTGCACCCAATGGCTGGCCAGCCACTGGGAAGACAAAGGGTCAGAAATTTACCCAGGAGCAGAGGAATGAGCTCTTCAATATTCACTTTGGGGAAGGATAGATCCTACCAGCCACTGCTCTGGGAGCTCAGGAGGAAAGTCAGCCATGAAACAGGGTAAGAAAAATTATACTTGAATTTCTCTATGCCTATTTCATCCTGTTTAAAGTGTAGAATGAACAGCACCCTATTGATTAGCAGCTAGCTAATCAAATCAATTTGTGTAATCTCTTAGTTTTTTAAAAATTCCTTTGAGGACACAACTCAGCCAGATGTCCTGTTAATTAAGCTGTGGATACTGTGCCAAGGATGGTTGAGTCTGTGCGTGAAGTAGGATTTGGTCTAGGTTTCCTGACAGAGAAGATGACGCCTTTATTCCCTACCTGATGTGAGTGGTTAAAAATACAATGACTTCAGATACCTGTTAAGTTGCTTAAATTACCTGCAGCTTCCTCCCATCTGCTGGCTTCTTCGTTCCATCATCTGCAACTGCTCCGTTGCTTTTCTGAATATAAACGAGAATGAAAAGGACTGAATACAATTACGGCCTCACCAGCTCTTACGGCACCTAATGGTAGCTCTTCAGGTCATTGTCCGTGAGAAAGTGGGAGAGCTAATGCAAATGACTGCATGGATGCTACTGAAAGAGCCAAAGCCATGTGCCTCCCTCAAAACCTTGTGACCGCTGAGAGAAGCAGGATTCTGCCTACAGCCCCTCAGTGAGGATGTACGTACCCTGAGATGGACCCAAATAGCCTCTACCATCTGATTCCTGTAGATGCAGACAGCCCCAGACTTCATCCCCAAATATCTATATCCTGACTCATTTTCCAGGAGAGGGAGAAAGAAGGTACAAAGGAGTGTCTTTTTACACTGATTAGCCTTACTTTCCATAAAGTTGTTTACTTTCCCCACAGGTTAGCTCCAGCAGCTCTGTGTCATGCTGCTACATGCAAGTGCAAGTTCTGTGTAAACGCAGAGTGCAAGGATTTGTTTCCTTGATGCTGAAGGGCTGCGTTCAATTTGGGACGATGGCTGTGGTGTCTATAGTGATGTATGGGTATAGCTACACTATCTTGCAGATGTGTTTCCCCCTGGAACGTAACACATGACCTCCATCCAGTACTCCCAGCCATGAACCCTCGCTAGAAGACAGACTGGGAGGAGGAGAGGAAGGCACTTTCTCCATTTGCCATAATTTCAAGTATCCTCACCCCTCTTCCTTTCTTTCCTTAGATTGTGTGAAGGGAGCACCAAGAGGAGGAGGGGCAAAACATGCTAGCACGCTGGTGATGCACATCTGACTAGTAAAACATGACAACGGCAGAGGACAATTTGAAATGGAGCCCGATCCGGCGGTAGCCCAGGACAAGGAGGCAGTGGGAGCATTTGCAGGAGAGGGGAGCAAGAAGTGGCTGGGCAGACTCAGGGAGATAAAGTCCCAAGTGTTTGGGATACCGCGTCCTGGCTAGATCTGCCAGATCACAAAGGTTAATTGGCTCTGGGGACAGCCTTCAGACAGCATGTCTTTGTATGTATAAGTATGCATCTCTTCCTTCAAAAGATGGTGAAGTTAGGGGCCCTAGTCTCGTCTCTACTACACCTGGACAGTGTAGTAGCAGCCACAAACCTCCCTCTCTGAGCACCAGTGGCACAAAGAATTGTGTCTCTGAGCACACACAGCTGTGGTCAATGCACAGAAGTAGAATTTGAGCATTTAGATCTTGTTATCAAATGCTGATTGAGAGAGGTGACAGTAGTTGTAGAAGGCTGCCAGATCCCCCTTCTGTGCTATCAAGTGATACCACCAGCACCACAATAGCACACACAACTTTAGCATGGGAAAAGAGAATTTTCTTTAACAACCTGTCTCATCTACAAGAGGCTTGGACAGTCTCTCATGTCAGAAGCCTTTTTACCTCTAGAACAAAATTGTACAGTCTTGTTCCCATACTAATCATGTGTTTCTGGATGGGTTGTAGGGTTTCTGTTTTTTAAAAACTCCTTTACTACAACTAAGCAAAATCCCATGCCTGTCTTTGAAAGTAGGTAAGTGGCCCCAACTGGTATCTTAAATTATCACAAGGAATGAACTCCCCTACAGTGGAGTTTTCTCTAATTTCTTAGACTCTCTACTACCTACATAGCACTTCCCTCATTTTATAATTATTGACCAGTGGCTGTATTCTGAGGTTTTGTTTCAATATGCACTTTGTCAAGGAGATGCAGTTTTTCTTTGTTGCTTATGCTAGAATGAATGTTTCTAACTTGCCCTCTGAACAATAAGGACACCAACCTTCTGCATATGCTCTGCTGATGCTGCCTGTACAGTATTTAGCGTCCTGTTCAGCTCCTGCTTCACCCATTGTTCTAGGTACACGTTGTGTTTCATAGTGAATACATATGTGGCATAGGCAGTCAGTAAAAGGAGGCTTTCCCACCAATCAATGACACTGTCTAGGAAAAACAGGATGAGCATCAGTAAGTCTACAATGTAGAACGAGATGTCTCTAAATAAGGGCCACCATGTCAGGTGGAGTATCTCCCTTGAGAAGAGCGCACAGGTGCCAATGACAAAGAGGATATTAAACACTGCTGAGCCCACAATGGTACCGATGCCCACATTGCTGTGTGAGATGAAGACACCTATGAGGGAGGTGAAGAGTTCTGGTGCTGATCCACCTGCTGCCATGAAGGTGGCTCCAGCCACATCTTCAGAGATCTGTAACTTCTCTGTGATCACTCCCAAGGCAGGGACAAAATACTCATCACACACTATGGCCAAGGCCACAAACACATATATCATGCCAAAGATGTGAAGTAAAACCCACCCTTGCCTGCGTTCTTCCACACTGAATAGGTCCTGGGGATATTCTCCTTTGGATTCATATTTTGGCTTTTCGTCTGGGTAGCTTGCACTGACGTTTTCTTGCTGTGGTGTTGTATCCACTGATGTAGTGATGGGCACAGTTGGCTCAGGATCCACATATACACAGTGCCTTATTTTGGGTGTTGCTGTGCCATTGCCTGTTATGGCAGTCTTGTTGCTGGGGAGGTCCCTGGGGGTAACTTTCACAGGGTCCTCGGGTTGGGGGGCTGTATGTGGTGCTGGAAGGCCAGGGGGGCTGATCTGGAGCTGATAGAAAGAGAGGACCAATACTATGGCAAGCAAGAAAAAGATTCGGTTCCGTTGTAGCCGCCTTCTCCGTGGTAAATGCATTTCCTAAAGGTTCAAAAATCAGATCCGTGTCCAGAAGCCACTGAAGACTTCTCTGTGATCAACAGTTTGCACTTATATCCACCATTGGAGTTTCTAGCTGATCTTAAGCATCAGGAGTGAAACTGCATGACACAACGTGAAGACTCCTGCAAAAGAAGGTCTAGTGTGAAAAATGAAGTACTGCCACTTCCCATTGAGTGGGTAACGTTACCTGAGTGAGTACTTTTCTATTTTCAGTAAAAAGAAATGGACCTAAGCTAGCAAAGTGAGATCTAGACCCAGGTTTCAATCTTCTTGTTTTTTACTACTGGAGGCTATGCTGATGGATAGTTGTAGGTTTGGCTTAATGGAGAGGAGTGCATGAAAATTGTTTGATAGTTCTCACCTACGCTGCTCTGTGGCTTTCCAGCCTTGCGTTTCCACAAAATACAAACCAAGCAAATGGTGAATTTTTTTCTTTCAGTTTGAGAAGAGTAGGAAGAAGACTTGGCTCTAGTAAAACTCAGGGTGTTGAGCATGCATTTGTTTCTATGACTACATCTTTTCAAACCTTTCTGTAGAAATCAGAACTGGCAAAGTGGAATTGTAATCATTCCTTTTATTAGAGGATAATTAACATATCTTGGATAATTATTTGAACAGCATTCATAAAGAAAGACAAATTGTAAATGCCAGAGTGACAGAGCCCACATATGTGACAGTATGGAGACAGCGATTTAGGTCTGGACAGACTTTACCCTTCAGCACTGCTTGAGTGCTGCTGTACCTTAGAATATCACTCTAAATGGATTTTTTTTTCCCCCAGAGTGAGACTGTTGTGTTATTCTTGAGCTGGATGTGAATCACAGTTTTGTAAGCCATTCTCAGATAAGCTCTTCATTCAAGTTAGCACACACTTACCCTCTTGCATAACACCCAGTGAAGTAATCAGCCTAAATTTCTTGCAAGACAGGCATTATTATCTTCTTTTAAATAGTTGGGAGGATCACTAAGGCAACAGTAATAGAGGGTCATGGGAGTACCTAGATAAATAGATGATACAAGCTTTGCTTTGGGTATGTAAAAGTACATAAGCACTCATATGGCAGAACTGCATAATACAGTATGTACAACAAATTATTAGGAAATAACCCTTCCTAATAAAAATGAAATGAAGAAGAGTAACAAGAAAGACACACAGAGAACAGCAGATGCATGTACACATTCCTCTTTAACCACTCCATTTTACTTCTCTCCAAAATGAGCTGCCTAGAAGATCTTTTGCAAGCAGAAATATATCCAAAGCTAGAATGAATTGTAAGAGCTCTCTAGCTTTTCACAGTACCTGTCAATCAGCCTCCTTGTTTCTCTGGCCTTGTAAATTTATTAGCTCTTGTGCAGAGTGCATTCTCTCCTACAAGTACTACCCTGATCAACTCCTTTCACCCTGGTTAGACTGCCTCAGTTAAGAGAGATCTCAAGCAATCACAGGGGTCTCCGCAGCTTACCTTCACAAGATGCTGTTCAAGAGGAAGGGGAATACCAACAGTTGTGGGTAGTGCTGGTTGCTTCTTTGGTACTTAGCAGCCAGATGAAAGATGCTGTTGCAGAGAGAGGCAGATGAAAATGATCCCATTTTCACTATGCCTCTCCTCGCTAAATTCTAATACAAGAGAGGGTCAGGTGTGAAGGACATATTACTGGAGGAAGAGCCAATCCAGCCTAATACCTGCAGTCCCTAAGAAGATTAAATAGTATTGCATAGGTTTGGGTCTCTCTCTGAAGCCAATATCTTTATCTGCTACTACAGGTTATTCACAGTATCAGGGCAGGTGATTATCTCCATTACAACCGACAAAATAGAAGCACCTACGCTGAGATATGTATCATTCGGATGGCAGCTATGGAGGAGGGCAGTGTGCAGCTGGGGTAGATCAATCGTTCCTCTGTGCGGAGCACGGACACCTCAGCATGACACTTTCCCCTACTGTTAGCAGGCTCTTTGGCACACAGCGTCATTTTGAAGCATCCCCTACAGCTGACAGGCCAGGCAGGCAGCCCTGCTCGGCCAAGCTTTGCTGGCCTTTGCCACAATTTAAGTCTGCTTTGCACTGCCAGCAGCAGGTTGAAAACTCTGTCTACTGGAAAAATCCCTCAGCTACCGCATCACGATACCACATCAGGCGGAGGGATGGCTGCAAGGCCTTGAGCACAGGCAGACCCTGGCTGGCAGAGAAACCTGAGGGTGGGTGGTATCAGTAACTACTTTGTACTGAGTGGCACTGTTGCGGCCTGGTCCGACAAGGAAAGAAACAATAATGTTCGCAGCCGAAAATGTCGTTATCATAAAACCCCAATCAGCTATTTCATCATAAGGGAACGAGAAAATGATGATTTGATATTTTTAAAGCAAAGTGTTGTCTCGTGCTGCTTCTCTTGTCTGAGTAGACAAGATCTGCAGTCTTGCAGGGGTACGTACCTCCAAGCTTTCCTCCACAGAGTTTGTTGAATCCTCCATCCTTACTCCTGTATTTACCGAACTGGGAGGAGTTCCACGAACAAATTGTGATGCTTTTTCTTAGCTTCTTTTCTATGTAAAGCAGTCTTTATTGTGGCAGTGTTTTTCATAATACTGGCATCTAACCGAAATACTTTTTGTGATGTTTGCAGTATTACAGTTTTGTTTTAATGATGAAAATACCATTTGTACAATTGTGCAAAATGTCATGAATTTCAGATGCAGGTTAGAATGATTCTGGTTAGACACTTCATGCATATCAGAAATCAAGCTGTTAACAGAGCTTCAAGTGATCAGTTTTCCAGGGCCGCTTCTTTCCCTGAGGCTATTTTTTCCTCTGGTGCACTTTTGTGATGAAGAATTCATGTTTATTGGCAAATTATATTTGGAGAGGTTTCTTGACCTCATGAAGCCAGCAATTTTAAATAATCTGTTTTTACTCAACTCTTCTGACTAGACAAGTTCCATATCCAAGAACCTGCTGCCTTCTGTGTTCCCTTGACTTCCTTTTCAAGGCAGTTTTGAGCTCCGTAAGTCCTTGCTGCAGCCTGTCCTTTGCAGTTAATGGTATTTGATGACAGTTTTCTTAGGCTTCCTTAGGGAAAAAGCTTCTGTATCTGTGTATTTAAATTCTTGGTCACTTAATTTAAGCCATCTTGCCATTCCAAGCAGAGTGTTGCAGCAGAGATTTCTAATCTTCTTGGGAATGTACAAGTTGATTGCCTCAACAAGGATTTCATCTGGGCCTGCTAGCCGTTTCTCAGGCATTTTGGGGAAATTTGCAGACGCTGTTCTCATTCTGAACATTGGGAATGCTCCATCTCTAAGTTTAGGTCTGGTTTTAATTCCTTCTGACCAGTCTTGAGTTCTGAAAGTACTTTCCTGTTTAGTCTGCTTTACTTCAACAGAAATATCCATTTGCAATTTCTCTCTTTATTAAAAAAAAAGATCCCAAATGTGACCTAAGTGTTTCCTGTATCTTTTGGACCTGCATGATTGGCCAAAGTACAGAATTCTGCAGACTGTTTCAAGCAGAACAAGAAAGTGTTGGATGCAATCCTGTTTACTTACAAAGAACGTAGAAGCCCTGATTCCCTGAAGAGCGAAGACTAATAATGAGGGATCAGTTCTTCCTTACTGTGCCCAGTCTCTCTGTGTTTTGGTGTTGCAGGGGATTATTTCACAGAACAAGCTATGTAAAGAAGCCTAACCGGACGCTTGGGACATAAAATACCTTACTTTGTTCTAGGCACTGAATTAATACACCATTATTACAAGCGTGGCAGTTAACATTTTAAGCAATGCTGTGTGCTCTGCAGTGAGTTTGTGATGGGAAATACTGTATAGTTTCAGGTTATTGTTTGAAAGCAAGAATCTGGGGGTTTTTAAGTCCCAGATTATGCATGTGGAAAGGGGAAGGCTGTAGGCTGTCCTCCACAGCAGTTTTCTCTGGCTAAGGCGGCTGTGGTAGCACTAACACAGAGGGCTGCACCGGCAGCCGCCCAGGCTAAAGGCTGAACGGCTAAAGGTTTGCCGGGTAAGGTGAGAGTGGGTTGTGCAGCCTCTGATCTCTGTCTTCTCACTTCCAGTCTAGCTCAGGTTGGCAGCAGTCCCAAGTGAACGAAAGGCACGCAAGAGCTGAGGGCTGGGCGACGCCTTTGTTGAGAGCAGCCTTCACTCCTTCCCATATCCATCCTTTGAATGACACTTCAGTTACAAGAGGTGAGAAAAGGCTTTTCTCCTTTCCCTGCTCAATCTCTGGAGTTGGAGTCAGACCTCACGCCTTCTGTGCCGGAGCCTTCTGAAGTGATTTCTTGCTTTCTTAGGAGACTTCTCCAGCTGCCTGATGTCTGTCCAGTGACTGAAAAACCCTGTCTGTGTCAGATCAGGGGGATGCAGTAATCCCTTGAGTATTAACCCCCAAGAACATAATCAAAACACACGATGTGGAGGTCAGAGGAAGTCGCACGCTCTGCAGAGGAAAAGGCAGCTGTAAACTCCCTGGCTCTGAGGAGGCTGGTCGCAGGGTGGCCGCTCTTGTAGGGGGCATCGGGGGCCAAACCGGGAACCTCTGGAGCTCAAAAGCTTGAGCTGAAGAGCTCAGCCGTGTTTGCAAGGTGCCCTCAGCCTGCCCCTCGGAGCCCAGGGAGGGGTTGCTCGACCCCTACATCACCTCATGGGTTACGGTCACCCTTCGGGAGAGGCCCGAGCACAAATTCCTGAGAACCAGCACCTGCCTTATAAGCAAGTGCTTGTCCTTCCCTTTACTTATACAGCGGGCAGCGGTTAGGCGGACTGGAAACGCTACAGCCGCCGACCGCAGCGGTCCACCACCGGGCT